TCACATGTAGGCCATCAAACATACAAGAAACTAAAGATGATAAATTCAAATTACCAAACATAGAACTGTTCCTAACTCCATTTCTACCAAATATGTAATTTTCAATCTCATTTTTTTCATTTAAATCAGTTCTCACATTGCTTTTAATTTCATAAACTGAATTTTCAAATTTATTCCTAACATACTACCCAGCAGCAACATCAATTAAAAAATCACCAATATCAATGTTAAAGAGGTTTATCATCACAAGACCACACATCTTCACTTTCAGCATGCTCCTCAGAACATATTTCAGCATATATTCAGAATCAATATCAACATTACTTAAATAATCAAAATGCACATTTTCTAATTCACAATCAATATTAACTGTATTTACATCAAAGACTGCACTTTTTAAAATTCAGGATTAAATTCATGAATGACAACAGAATTAGTACAAAATACAGAATCATTTTTGTCTTAAAAATCAGTCTTTTTATTTTTAAAAACAGTCTGAATTTTGGCAATAAAACAAACACGAGAATCAATTTCATAATCAATATCAGCAATTTCAAAATTATCAAATTAAAATGTTCATTTTATCCCTCTTCTATATGAACCTAATCATGCTCCACCTTATTATTAAAATTTGTGTTTGTTCACTAAAAATAGAAACAACAACTTCATATTTTTCAACATTCAAACATGCCATATAATCTTCATTAAATGTCATATTATTACTAATAACAGTTTTAAATCCCGGTCTAGAACAAAGCCATAATCTATACCCCGTAACACCATAACCTATGGAAACACACTTTTCAGTTTTCAAATCAAATTCATCAATGCAAACATGTATTAAAACAAAACACCCAAATACATGAACATTAGAAATGTCGACTCTTCTACCAAACCATTTACTTTCGGGATATAAACCTTTAAGGGGGATAGAGGGTGTTCTAGTTCTCAAATAAGATCATGTTGTAACTACAACTTCACCCCAAAACTTTTTGGATAAACCGGATGAAGTCAAAAGACTATTAATCCTTTCCAAAATGGTCTGGCTCATCCTCTTGGTCATCCAACTAAATTGGGGTGCCATTGGGACAAATTTAATTATTTTAATACTATTTTGCACACAAAAGTTATCAAACCAAGTGTTACAAAAATTTAAGCCATTATAATTTTGAAGAATTTAATTTTCCTGCATGTTTCAATTTCAACTTGAATTTTCCAATTTTTAAATATTCCAAAAATTTGAGACTTATTTTTCATTAAGAAAATCTAAGTTTTTCTTGAAAAATCATTAACAATGGTTAAAAAATATCTAGAACCATCAAAATTAGACTCACAAGAGGGCCCCCACAAATAAAAATATACGTATTCTAAGACATATTTTGAACATTCAAGTTTTTCAATATGGAGTAAGAGAAAATGAACTTAGTTTGTTTATTATCAACACAATTTTCACAAGATTGCACAGTTGAAAATATATTATTGCCAAAATATCCAGACTTTTGCAATATTTCTAAACCTCTGTTGCTTAAATGACCTAATCGCTTATGCCACAAAAATATTTTGTTTTCAAAATTAGAATTAATAGCACTAACAGTCATAGTCATAGGATCTGCTTGGGTCATATAGAATTTATTTTTCATTTCAGATTTAAAAACAATTAAAAATTGGCAAAATTGTTCATAACTCCCTTGTGGTTTCTGTGGTTTCTAAACTCAGCGTAAATCTCCCATCTACTTTAAAAATTACATGACGGTGCCTTATACTTTAAAAAATGTTGCATGAAACCACTATGTGGTTTCGAAACTTAGCATAAATCATCACTTTACTTTAAAAGATTACATGACGCTCCCTTGTACTTTCAAAAATATTGCATGAAATCCCCTCTACCATGCAAAACATATAGATATGAACTCATCTTTTTATCACATGAGGAAAGTTTCATGGTGGTGGGGTTTCATGTAACGTTTTTTAAAGTATAAGGGGTACCACGCAATTTTCAAAGTATGGAGATTTTGCACTGAATTTTGAAAGCACATGGAAGTTATAAGCAATTTTACCTTAAAAAGTTTTAATAATTTTCATAAAACCAGCTCCCATTTACCCTCAAGACCTAATTCGGCTAAGGATGCACAAGATAACAAATTAAAATTCCAGAACATGCTTCACATTATTCAATTTCAATACAAAACCAGAATTAAATTTTAATTTTATGCTACTAATTTCAAGCACATTGCACACACTATTATTAGTCATAACAATAGTGCAATTTTTTAATATTTTGTATTCACAGAAAATTAATCTTAATGGAATAATATGATTAGAACAAGCCGAATCAATCAACAATTTATTTTCTAACATAGGTAAACAATTAGACCTAACAACAAATACATCCCCTAAATTTTTCTCAAGAACTGTCATATTGGCTAACACATTCACTTGGTTAAACAGCTTCGAAAAACAATTTGATTTGAAAGATTTTTGGAAAAATACAGTTTTTTAAAAACAAACACAATCAAACCGTAAAAAAAAAAAAAAAAAAAAAAAAAAAAAAAAAAACAAACACAAGAAACTGCACACAACAGGCAGGGATTTAGAATTTTCCCTCGAAGTACAGCAACAATTTTTCCTACAAGAAACAACAAGGAAAAATACAAAAAACCTCTTCTCATTCGAGGTGAGGCGTTAGCCAATGAAAAACAGACCCTTAATATACACACGGGATATAAAGCACAAGAAAGAATGAAACAAAAACAAAGAGAGGCTACAAAAAATTGACTTAACTGATATTTTAAGAAAAACAGTTTCGATTTTAACAATTCTCAATCAAACAACTATGGTTTTCTCAAATCTAACCAAAACAATAGTGGTTCCAAAAAATTTCAAACCCAAGAACAATGATTGTACTACAATTCTTAAAAGATTTTAACAAACTTTTAAAGTATTTGAGAAAACCTTTAAATCTAGAACCAACCAAAACACAATACTATCATAAATAAGGCGAAGCAAGGACTGTTCTACAGTTTATATTTACAAACAAGGCTTGAACAAATTAATTTGACAGTTAGGGCAAGAAACACACAAAACAATCACTGCTCATAAAATTTTAGAATTTAATCAAATGAAATTTTACCGACTCCAAGCTCTACAACAGTCATTGACAATCTTTTAGGATTCCTTTGGTGTCAACCTGTTACACCTCTTAAAACTGCGCACTCAATACACGAATTAGTATAGTTTGGATGGCACAATAAATGATTATACTAGCTAACAACCTAATCAAACAAGAATGTCACATAAAATATAGACTTATACTAGAAACACAAATTCAGTTTCACTTTTTAGGCCAATGTGATTTCAATGATAGTAACTCAAGTTCTGAACGCTCAGAGTAATAACAACACAATTCTCAGATTGTATTTTAAACTACAGGATTGGACTAATCGAAACATCAATTCCACTATAATCGATCAATTTCAAAACAGATCACAATACAAAGGTTGTACATTTGTTTCAATCTTGGTTTCAAAACAAATTTTATAGCAAAACTCTGTAACCAAGATTAGTGGAAACAAAATGAATCGCAGTTTAATGTCAAATAAAGATCATGATTTCGAGAAACAAAGAGCTATTAACACTTTTTCGAAAAACATAGAATATGTCAACCCAGTTTCAATTTTTTTAACAAAACAGATAACAAACTCACATTTCCAAGATATGAAAAAAAAAACAGAGAACATCAAAACCTAGTTAAGCTCTTATACCAATAATTATAGATTAAATTAAAGTAACTAATTATTTTAATAAAATTTTTAAAAAATGATTAATTATAAAATATGATTAGAATGTAAAATACTTTTCTAAAATATGAAAATATCATAATATGTGGACAGACGAAAATAAAAAATGTAACATAATAGTTGAGCGGAGGAATTATATTTTTTATATTAAAAAAAAAGAAAAAATAAAATAAGAAGTACTGCAGTCTACATTTGCCCATGGTAGGTCCCTATATATATATTTACAAATGTTTTTCAAGCTAGATATTATGTGAAACGGAACAACTCATCGTTCAATTACAGTCAAATCAAAGATGTCACTATAATATAATAAATATTATTAATTTATATTTTTAAAAACAAACGTATAGCATGGCAAAATAGCTTTTTATGCAACTGCTTATGTTAATGAAATAAAAAGAGCATATTCTAATATGTACACCTAAGTAGGGTGGATATCCTGTCGCTAATTCATGTTTAGATATTTAGACCAGGTAATCAAATTAGACTAAGTACAAATTATGATATATATATATATATAAAGTATCAACTATACTTCGATTTTATTGTTTCTACTCTTTACATTATAAAGTTCTTTTTATATATAAAACTTATTTTTAAATGTTGTATTGATAGACTGAATTATTTGTTGAGATGTGATTGTCTTTTTAACTATTAGTTCATGCTAGGTTCACCTAAAATAGTGATAATTCATACATCTATTGTGCTCCAGATGTGTTTATTCCTTCAAAGTGATATCAGAGCCCGACTCAACTTTGTGGTTTATGGTCATTATGGAAACAATACAAGTATATAATATCGAATTTCAATAGTTTGAATTATTATATATGAAAGGAAAAGATGATGGGTTTTGTATACGTGAAAAATTTCTATTGATCAATATTTGGAAGCCAACAAATCTGAAGGCGAAATTCATATCGAAAACATCCTCTTTTTTCTTTTTTCTATTATTATTTTTTCTTGTACTGTATGTGTTGCTTACTTGTTTTGATTGTAAATAGTGGAGTGATTGAAGAAGATAAGGTGGGGTATGAGTCATTAATACTAGTTTCAACACCCAACAACCCATGGACCTACATTCACTCTCTCTACTCTCTACTCTCTGCTCTCTACTATACTGGCCTCACATATATTACCTCACCAGCTAAGCTACGTACGTACATATGTTTATTTTGCCTATAAATAATCACACCATTGCACCTAAATTCTCATCTCAAACTAATTAATAATTAATACACAAATCACTCTAAGCATCGATCTTTCTTGAGTTTCACACAAACTTAAAACAATGGCGACCAAGATAATGGTGGTTCTGGTCCTTTTCCTCGTCTCATCCCTCTTCATAGCTTCGCAAGTTGCAGCCACTAATCAACAAGGTGATCAGTTACTACTCTAACTATTATTATTATGATTATGATTATGCAAAATTATTTATAACCTACTCCTAGTTTAAAAAAGTTTGAACCATTTTTCCATTGATTTAGAGACTGTAAGGCCTCCCTCATGTTTTACTAAATGCTACACTGAATCACGACACTTTTTTGTATTATTCAAAACCCTAAAAATGAGATTTTTCTGCAATATTTTTGAATTATGAAAGAGAATGATGGAGACCTTATCAACAATTTTGGCTTATTATTATTATTATTATTGATAAAGTTGGCTGTTCTTATTGAGTATTTTAAGATTATACATATTAATTTGCAGTGAGTGAAGTAATTAATTAATGTTGGTCTGTTTTTGGAACCTCATGAATAGCTGAGACTGAACAGCAAGGAACAGAAGGTGGATACCATGGAGGCGGACACCGCCACTACGGCGGAGGCGGACACTACGGCGGAGGCGGACACCACGGCGGCGGCGGCGGCTGCCGCTACCGCTGCGGACACCACTGCTGCAGCGCTGCTGAGAAGGCCGAGTTCGATGCTCGAGCCCAGACCCAAAACTGAACACAATTAATTAAACAGACAGACTCAACGTGCATCAAGAATAAACTCCCTTCCTTATATATGTATATGTATGTATGTATGTATGAATAAGTTGTGTGAGAGAGATGATCAGTCGTCATCTACATCTCTGCATCATTCCTATATCGATCGTGTAATGCTGTGAACCTTTCTACGTACACTGCTTTAATTTTAATTTTAGTTTTTATGCCACTGTGTGGTTAATTCCATTTTGATTACTTATTGTGATTGTGTGAGTATCTGCATCAATTCCCCAATGTGTTATTTTTAAATAAAAACTAGAATTAAAATTAAACAGCGAGTAAATACTCCATATGTCATCCGATCCATATTCATTCTCACATATCTTTTTGACTGTCAAGCAAAATTTATATTTTCATTTTTTTTCTCCAAAAATTCATATTCTTTTTGTAATTTTTCTATTATAAAAAATAAAAAATAACAAAAGGTAAATAACTATTCATTCCGTTCAAATCCAATAGTCTTATTTATTATTTTTGTTTGTCCCAACACAATAATTTCATTTTCATAAATACTCATATCTTCATAAAATTATGGTTACTTTTTCATTAATATTACATAAATATCACTACATTTTACACTAATACAGACCATACTTTTAGGACAGAGGAAGTATATTATTATTCAAATCTCACTACTTTTTACACATAAAATTATTTTATTTATATTATTAATATAAAATCAATATTTCTTAAATTTCATGTCAACCCAAATAAGACCATATTTTAGGACGGACGGAGTATATTATAAAAAATATATGAGAATATAGTTGGGTGACAAAAGTAATATTATGCTTTAAATATTTATAATTTAATTGAAATGACAAATTCGTGTTTCGTTTACATATATACACCACACTCATTATATACAATAGTAGTAGGGAGCCGTGTTATGCACGGCTCAAGTGATAAACTAATTATTTGTTAATTGGTTTTTTACAAATATCATAGTATTTAATATATATTTCAAAAATATTTAAAATAATTGTTGTTATTTAAAATATTGATATATAGAATTTAAATATAAAAATAGTCTAAAAAATTAATACATTAAAAAAATATAATAAAAAAATTAGTCTAATTGTGTTGAATAATTTATAAAATTCGTAGTATTCATTTTCAATATTGTCTACAATACTTGTCAAATCAAGATTTTCATTTTGATTATATCTTTTTATAGGCAACTCACTTCTTATTTATATCTCCAAAACCCTAATTGAATTTTTTTTTTCTTGGATGACGTGGTACCCGCAGCCGCTACCCGAAAGTGTGCACTGGTTAAACCCTAGTAACAAGTCCAACCCCTACCCCACCAGGCCATCCGTTACGGGACTGGTTATGATTAATATTATAAATATGCTATGTTGTGTATGATATATGTCTATGTTGATTTGACCTAATTAGGGATAACAATGGGTCCGGATAGACCCGAGACCCGGCCCATTTATTTGGGGTCGGGTCCAAATATTTGGGTCTAGGATCGGGTTTGGGTCTGGATAAAAACTTTTTTTAAGGGTCGGGTCGGGTTCAGGGTCCGAGCATGGACCCGACCCATACCCGGACCCGGATCCGACCCGTCATTTAATTAAAAAAAAAATGAATTATATTGTATTTTTTCAAATAAAACCTAGCAGCAAATTATATTGTATTTTCTCAAATAAAAAACCTAGCAGCGCAGCCTTCTTCCCTCTTTTTTTCTCACACAGCCTCTCCCTTCTTTTTTTCTCACGATAGCCCCTCCCCTCTTTTTTTCTCACGACAGCCCCTCCCCACGCAGACGGCAGGCAGGACACCATCACGGCAAGTTCTTGGTCGATTTCTCCCTCTTCTTCGTCTAATTCATTCTCCAACTCAATTTTCCATCGTTAAGCACGGCTGTTTTTGTATAAGGGTAAGTTATTGTGTAATTTTACTTATTTATTTTGGTGTGTGAGATTTTTTTCTATTATTTGTTGAGTTTTTGGCATAAAAAAAATTAAAAGTAAATGAATAAAAAAATAAATTTTTTTTGTTCAGTTTGAGTTCTAAATTGCAGCAACGAGTGTTAAGAAGAACTTTTTGTTCAGGTTGAGTTTGAAATCCAGGGTGGTGATTGAATTTTTTTTATTTGTCCGGTTGATTCAGTTTTGAATCAAGATGGTGTTTAATTTATTATTATTATTATTATTATTGTGAATTTTTTCTTTTGTTGCTCTGCTTGCTGTTACTGTCCGTTTACAATAGTACATTAATAATAAAAAAAATTGATAATTTGATAGTTCATAATGTTATTAATCTATTTGGTATAAAAATTAGAAATTAATTCAAATGCAGTGTTTGTTTGTTGCCTATGCAATATGTTTTTTTAAACTTAATTGATAATTCATAGTTCTTAAGTGCATTATTTTGTTATTTTGTAGATGGATTCCAAAGGAGCTGACAATTCTTTTCCGTCGGTTAGTAGTATTTAGGAAAATATGAATACACAAGAAACTCCGAAAGAAAATACTAACAATGATAGTTTGGAAACTAATGACTCTACCGATTGTAAAAGAAAAAGGACATCAGAATTGTGGGATCATTTTGAAAGGAAAAAGATTGATGATATGATATATGCAGAATGCAACTACTGCAAGGCCCTTAAAGCACCGAGTGGTATGGAACGACAAATTTGAAAAAGCATTTTGAAAAAGTCTGTAAAAAAGACTAAGGAAAATGGACATTCGACAAAGTGTTCTGATGATGGGAAGCAAAAAAATTGGTGGAGGTTAAGCACTTGAAACCCATGTGTTTAATCAAGAAAATTCAAGGCATGATCTTGCAACAATGATGATTTTGCATGATTATCCATTGACAATGGTCGATCATATTGGTTTTCGAAGATTTGTTGGTAATCTTCAACCATGTTTTAACATGATTACAAGAAACACTTTGAAAAATGACATATTAAAGATTTATGAGGTTGAAAAAAGCAAAGTGTTATGAGATATTGGACAAGCTTAATAGTCGAATTGCTATCACAACGGACATGTGGATATCAAGCAATAATAAGAAAGGATTTATGTCAATTACTGGACATTATATTGATGACTCTTGGACTTTGAAGAATGTCATTTTGAGGTATATTTACTTAAAAATAATTTTTTATTTTGGTATTTTTGTATTTTTGTTGTATAGATAATTGAAACTTACGAACAATTCTTTTATTTAATAGGTTTGTTTATGTACCGGCTCCATATACCGCCGAAGTTTATCAAGTGTTCGCATTTTGTCTTTGATGGACTAGAATATTGATAGGAAATTATCAACTATTACGGTTGATAATTGTACTACCAATGATTCGATGATTCAACAAATTTTGGGGAAACTGTCATCAAAAGATATGCTGATGGATGGAAAGGTACTTTATATGCGTTGCTCTACACATATTTTAAATTGATTGTTAGAGATGGGTTGGAAATAATTAGTGGTGCAATTAAAAAAGTGCTTGATAGTGTGATTTATTGGACTACTTCACCTTCTAGAATTGAGAAATTTGAAGAAGCTGTTCATCAATTGCATATTAATTGTTCTAGAAGGTTAGTCATGGATTGCAGAATTCGTTGGAACTCTACTTATTTGATGTTAGAAACAACTATTATTTATAAAGATGTGTTCCCATAACTTAAATACCGAGAGAGAAATTACAGTAGTGAGCCAAGTAATGAGGATTGAGAAATTGCAATTGAAATATGTGGAAAGTTGAAGATTTTCTATCAGGTGACAGAGTTGTTTTCTGGAACTCTTTATCCTACATCAAATTTTTATTTTGCTCATATATGTGAGATAAAATCAAAATTAGATGAATGGGTGAAGAGTTCAAATGTATTGGTTCAAGAAATGACGAAAAAAATGCTTGCCAAGTATAAAAAATATTGAAGTGATTGTCATATCATGTTGGGGGTTGCTGCTGTATTGGATCCTAGGTACAAGTTGAAGTTTGTTGAATTTTATTTTAATCTAATATATGGTGATGAAGTTGAGATTAAAGTTAATCAAGTTCGTCAAAATTGTTATGATTTGTTGATTGATTACCAATCTAGAGCCATGTCTTCTACGGATATGAGTTCGGTGGTTGATGTTGGAATGTTGGATTTGGGGGGTGCAATGACTCGCAATGTTGTTTCCGCTGATGCATTTGATCTATATCCATTGAAGAAATACGATCAATTTGTGGCAAGTATGAATGATTCTTCTAGGAGTTCTACGATGTCGGAGTTGAATATTTATTTGGAAGAAAGTGTTTTACCGAGGACACCAAATTTTGATATATTAGGTAGGTGGAAGACGAATGGAGTCAAGCACCCTTACTTCCAGAAGATGGCAAAGGATATTTTGGCTATTCCGGTTTGTACGGTTGCTTCCGAATCTACGTTCAGTAATAGTGAAAGAATTATTAACCCTCATCGTAGTAGACTTAATCCTTCTACTTTAGAAGCATTAGTATGTGCTCGACATTAGTTATGGAATGAAGCAAATTGTAAGTTAATTTTAATATATTTTTAATTAATATATTTATATTTATTATATTGTAAGACTTATATTATTTGTTGATTTATTATTTTAGGTGGCAATTTGACTTCCGGTTGCTCAAAAGCATTTGACGATGAAGAAGAAGATGACGATGAACAATGAAGATTTTTGTTATTTTACGTTGTGATTGATGACTTGTGTTAATGTGTTTAGATTTTTTACGATGAATGCACAAAAGATTAGATGTTTGGTTATTATATATCATAATATGCAATATTATTTTTATATTTATTTGGATTGAATTATTACTGTTGCTGTTGCTCATTATTTGTTGTTACTTTTTTATAATTGTTTAAAAAAACTAGATAATTGTTTAGGCGGGTCTGGGTCCGGATCCGGATCCGGGTCCGGGTCTTGTTTATATTTAAAATTTTGAAACTATCGAGTCTGTCGGGTCTATCGGGTCCAATCTGGTAGTTATGGGTCGAATCCGGGTCCAATCAGGTCCGGATCCAATCAAATATGTTTCGAGTCCTGACTCCATATATATTTTTTCGGGTCGGGTCTTGGGTCTGGTCAGACCCGACCCATTGCCATCCCTAGACCTAATCAATATGTTGCCATTTTTTTTCATAATATGATTTTGTTTATTTGTTAAAATTAGAGTTATTATTATTAATT